AGCTGGCGGAGCCTCCCCCCGGTGCTGCACCCAGCGAGCCACCGTGTCACCCTGCCACGGTGACGTCAGGGGAGTGGACGGGGAGGGCTGCCCTGGCAGCAAGCGGCTTCCTCCATGTGGCGTGAACCTGCAGCAGCCGAGAGCAGAGCGAGGTGTTTTGGAGCAAAGACGCTGCTTCCTTCTTCTTCACCCTCGGCCTTGCCGGGAGAGGGATGGGGAGGGGGGTCCCAGCCGCAGGGACAAACCACAGTTGCCCCGAAAACCAGCAAGACCCAGCCCCAGAGCAGGAGGGAGCAGGATTGGACACATCCCGCCAGCCTGGCTTTTGCAACCAGAGTGGGGCAAGTTTCCCCCCCCTCCTCCACCAGCCCCGGAGTGGGGCGGAAGCAGATTAGCACAGAGGAAGCACCAAAAAACCAAAAAAAGCCAAACCACCACACGAACTGCCCCATCACAGCAGGGAACCTGCGGGAGGAGGGGTGCAGCGCATCCCCCCCGTGGGCACCCTAAACCCCCCCTGCCCCTGGTATCTCCCAGGGTCCAGCACTCCTTGCATCTGCCTCCCGCTCCTGCCACCCGTCCCCCCAGCGCCATCCCAATGCCACCCTCTGTCTTGCCAGCCCGAGCATGAAGCACAAAGCTTTGCCCTTTCCAGCCGTTGCCACCAAGCCCCGGGGCTGGGAAAGCCTCCCCCAGCCCAGCAAAGCAGCTTGTGGAGACGTGGCGCTGCCAAGGAGGAACTGGTGGAAAGGCTCGGGAAACCTGAATGCTCCTACCTTTGAACCATCGCTCTTTGCCCTCTCGCCACTCGGCGTTACTGTCGGGCACACGGCGGCACCCTGAAGGCGGCAGCCAGCCCCGGAGCAGGACACCAGAGGGGGAAGGACGCTGCGTCCGAGCTAAGCTGCCCTCGGTGGGGCAGGGGAAAGGAGACATTTAAGCCTGGGCTTGAATTTTGTCTGGAAAGCCCAAATTCTAGCTGGGTTTCAAGTTCGGTCTCGCTCCAGCAGCTTCTGACACTGGCACAGCACTTTGCAAGGCCAGCTGGAATCACAGAGGATGCAAAGCACTTCTGCAGGTCACCTTCCCTCCCAAGCATCACAGCCAGGAAATCCTGGCATTTTAACCTCTTCCTTCCTGGGCAGACACAAGGATAAAGCATCCAGCCGGGCCGCAGCAGGAGCAGGCACCCACCAGTCCCCAAAGTGGCAGCATGGGGACAGAGGACACAACCGATGCATTGGTGGTGTGGCTGTGAGACCCGGGGACAGATTTCAGCTCTTCCCCCGAGCGGTGCCAGCCCTCTGGTCCTGCCAGCGGGACAAAATGAGGAGCCTGGGGAAACTGAGGCAGCGCTGCAAACCTCACTGGAGAGTGCAGGCGTGCTGTCCCACCAGCCACCCGTCCTCCTCCTGCGGGAGGCTGCCCGGGCAGCCGTGCTGGCTGGCGAGGCTCCACGTGCCCCGTGCTGCCTGGGCATGATGGGTTTTCCCCTGGGAGCTCACGTTACTGCACTGGCGCCTGCCAAGGCCACCATGCAGCAGCCCCAGGGCGATGGGGCAGAGGCAGCTTCCCCGGGCTGGGAGCACCCGCTCCGGCATCACCAGCCCCTGGCTCTGAAAAAAAAAAAACCCCCATCTCAAGGGCTCGATTCCCACCCAACGCAATGCCGGGGGGAACGCGCCACCCTGGAAAGCTTTCCAGCCCCGGCGCTTTGGCAGGGAGGCTCGCAGGAGGCAGAACAACAAGCCTTGTGTTACACCAAGTTTCCTACGGAAATGATGCTCCTGTTGGCACACTGCGTCCCCTTTGGCACGCTCGACGCCCCCCAACAACTGCAAGCGGAGACAGAAACCCCCACGGATACTTAGTTCCTGCAGGTTTGATGCAAACAAACAGCTTTCAGCCCACAAAAGCCAGTGCCGGCGAAGGAGGGCACGGCGCTGAGCCAGGCTGCCTCTGGCTCCGCTCTCCCCATGAACGCCTTTTGCATTTCTTCCTTTAAAACTGCTCCTGCGAGCTGGAGGGAGGGGCGGGGGGCGGGGG